GATGCCTATAAAAGCACTTAATGTTTCTTATCACACCCTGGTCCAATGGCTGTAGGGCCGCAGTCGTATTTGCCGGAAGGAACACCAAATTAGTTGCTCTCAGCTCAACGTCGACTTTGTGCGCCGAACAGTTGTTGATTGATTGATTTGTGGGGTTTAACGTCCCAAAACCACCATTTGATTATGAGAGACGCCGTAGTGGAAGGCTCCGGAAATTTTGACCACCTGGGGTTCTTTAACGTGCACCAAAATCTGAGTACACGGGCCTACAACATTTCCGCCTCCATCGGAAATGCAGCCGCCGCAGCCGGGAATCGAACCCGCGACCTGCGGGTCAGCAGCCGAGTACCTTAGCCACTAGACCACCGCGGCGGGGCGCCGAACAGTTGTCGACGACAAGAAGAACGCGTCTGATGCCCAGTTCCATTCGCCTGTCGAATTTCAGTAGCCACTTCCTGAATAGGTCACCTGTCATCCAGGCTTTCTTGTTTGCGGCGTACTCCGTCGGCAGTGAGCGAATGTTTTTGAAGCACCGTGGCTTGAGTGCTTTGCCAATCACAAAAAGGGGGACCTTTTCCGTACTGGTCATATTTGCGGCGACCAGAACAGTGACACGCTCTTTGCTGCGCTTGCCGCCGGCACAGCTGTCTCCCTTGTAGGTGATCGTCTTGTCTGGCTGCAACTTGAAAAATAACGCTGTCTAGTCAGCGTTAAACACATCCTGTGGTGAGTAGCTCTGCAAGTACTGCTGCAGGGTGTCGCTTCTCCAAGTAGCGCATGTTTCGGCGTCCACTTCCTTTGCCTCGCCGGATAACAGGCGGAATACGAGATTATGCCACTCCCTGAAACGATGAAACCGTCCCTCGGAGGCGACAAAGTCTTCAATGTCCAAGCGCAGGGCGAAATCGGCTGCCTTGGCCACGATGATAGGGCCGCTCAATGCGATACTCTGGGATCTCATTTCTTTAACCCAGATAATCAAAGCTGACTCCAGTTCCGGGAACTTCGCTGTCCTTAGCCCTTTTCGACTGGCGCCAAAATCCTCGGCTTCATAGGCGTTTTCAATGGCCGTACTGTTGCGTATGTAGGTTGACGTGCTCGGAAGTATGCCGTGCTTCCTCGCAATTTCGTATTTGCTAGAGTTCCCTTGGTCAACCTTTCGCAAAATCTCCACCTTCTCCTTGACAGTCTTCGCGCAGTAGTTTCCCCGCGGCATCTTGCAACTTCGATGCGGAATAAGACGGCTTGACGGCGTGAACGAACAACGTGCTCGAGGAACAAAGTGACGCTGCCGGGAGCGGCCTAGGACTGCTAGGACTACTCCGCCGACTCCTCAGTGTCCCGTGGGTCCCGCGTACAAGTGGCGCCAGGCGCTGAGATAGCGGGAGAGCTACGGAAAAAAAAAAAATTGCTCCTTGGATTTTGGAGGCCATACTTTTGCTTGCAGGGCAGGTAATAACCGCAGAGCATAACCACGAGATTGAAGTAACTAGAAGAATAAGAATGGGGTGGAGCACATTCGGCAAGCACTCTCAAATTATGACAGGTAGATTGCCACTATCCCTCAAGAGGAAGGTATATAACAGCTGTATCTTGCCGGTACTTAGCTACGGAGCAGAAACCTGGAGACTTACAAAGAGGGTTCAACTTAAATTGAGGACGACGCAGCGAGCAATGGAAAGAAAAATGGTAGGTGTAACCTTAAGAGACAAGAAAAGAGCAGAGTGGATTAGGGGACAAACGGGGGTTAAGGTATCATAGTTGAAATAAAGAAGAGGAAATGGACATGGGCCGGGCATGTAGCACGTAGACAGGATAACCGCTGGTCATTAAGGGTAACTAACTGGATTCCCAGAGAAGGGAAGCGGGTTAGGGGGAGACAGAAGGTTAGGTGGGCAGATGAGATTAAGAAGTTTGCGGGTATAAATTGGCAGCAGCAAGCACAGGACCGGGTTAACTGGCGGAACATGGGAGAGGCCTTTGTCCTGCAGTGGACGTAATCAGGCTGATGATGATGATGATGATGATGATGATGACTTTGCTTGCCCTTTGCTCGGAGGCCACTTGAAGCTCGAAAAAACTGGTCGTGCCACCTATCGTTCGACTGTAAAAACTCCCACTAGTGCTTGACGATGATGACGCTCCGCGGCGCGCTTCGAATTATCCGTAGAGGCAGCAATTTCTGTTTGAATTAACGAATCATTTTACACATGGTCTCCTACGCACTGCGGACCGGACTGCGGCGACCATTTCGAATTATCCAAAATTTCGAATTAATGAGGTGTGAATTAACAAGCTTTCACTGTATATTTTTGTTTTGTTATCAACACTTGGCTCTGCCTCATTCTTTGAACCACAGCTGGCGTTCGCTGGCATGCCAAAAAGGACGAATTCTAAATTGTCCATGCTTTCGTGGTGTGTTTAGGGGGGCCGATATGTCTGTCCTTGAAATCAGCCCGGCTATTGCCTCCCTAATTAACGGGACCAGTGACAGACACCAAATGTGCAAGGCTGCTGTTGTGACACATAAGTGGCGACAACAGAACACAGGCACATAGTGGGAGCAGAAAAGGAACACCTAAAGATGATATGTAACTGGAATAAATATTAAACATCTCTGCATTTCGTGAGCAAAACATTGAAACATTTGTGCATAAAGTTACATTTTGCTAAAGCACCTTTGCTCAAAGCAGTAACATTCCTGCACACACAGTTTTGTCCCACAATATCAGCACCTGCAATTCATCTTCCACAAGGTTATGTATGATACAGGATGTTTCACACTTGGGGGAAATCTTGGAACGCATAGCACTGCAATGCGCAAGCACCACAGTCATGCGCCCAGAGCAGCTCCTGCAGCTGCTCGAAATACGTGTTAAATTGTGTTCTCTGCTACAGTGGTGTGCGTTGGCCGCATTGCTGGGAAACGTGTTACATTCTGTGGCAGTGCTCGGAGACCAAGCACGCTGTCAAAACATTTTGGTGCCACTTTCTTGGCACCACATATTACAGTAGCACATGCAGTGAAAAAAATATACCTGCATGCTCTCAGTACACTGGCCTTTAGAAAAAATGAATGAAGAAAGCTTTCCAAAATAGTTTGTAGAACCCCACTTTTGCCAGTGAAAGCTCACAGGTCCGTGTCATATGTTTATCATGTTTAGTAGATCATTCAGTTGTATTAGAAACGATGAAGCACCCATGAGTAGCATGCTTTCAGAAAATGCCGCCAGAGAGCGTCCCAGTAACAAATGACACAGTTTAACACTTGCACCTGCGCACGCGCATGCTTCTGCCGCCGCCTGACTCCAGTGCTCGCAGCATCACGGTGGCACATGCTCAATTTTTCCTTTAGGACTGAAACAGCTTGGCATTGCAGACAGAAATCATCTGCCAAATAGCATAAACTATGAGTGCAAAAGAAAATTTATTTATTTTTATTTATTATTATTATATTTTTGCAGAAAACCTATACAACTCCCAGTATATACCCGACAAAATTTGTGGAAATTTGGACAACTGAAGAAGATAACCAATGTAGCCTAATAAAAGGAATGGAAATTCCTAGCATAATCCCCTTAGCATACAAGCTACCGTATTTACTCGATTCTATCGCGCCCTCGATTGTAATGCGCACCCGATTTCCACAGCGAAAAAAAAAGAAAACGTAAGACATCGATTGCAACGCGCACCCATTTTTCTCGCTGGCCCGCACGATCACACCACTCGAAAAAACGACTCCTTTCGGGAGCGTCTTCCATTTAAATGTGAGGTACGGGCAAAGCTTGTGCCCATCTGACGTGTAACAGAGCATTTCCGTCACTGTAGTTTTACCGTGGACCGATGTCAGCACGCGAACTTGCTTCGCCCCCTTCTCGACGGTTGTGGTGCCAGGCATGTCGAAGTAAAGAGGCGTCTGATCGGCATTCCCGATTTGCCCAAGCAGGTAGCCGTTGTTGCGCCACAAGTTTAGGACGAACCTCTGAAAACTGTGAAGCTTTTCATCGTACTCCTCCGCAAAACTTTTCGCATATGCATGTTCCCCTTTGGAGGGAAAAGTCGTTCCTCTTCATAAAGCTAGTTAGCCAGCACCTGCTCGCTTTAAACTGGCTCCGCATTAGACCTTTTTCGAAGACTAATTGCATAGCCCGTGCTTGGAGCAGTTCTGTCGTCCCGGGCCGCTGTGCCGCTCGCTGCTCAAGCACATACTTGCCGAACAGCTTTTTAATTTGCGGAAACCGACCCTGCAGTGGTCCACTGAAGCCTTTGCGTGAAGCTTTGCTGTCGACAATCTTTTGCTTTTGTTTCCGCCGGTCCCGCACGCACGTTTCGGGAACTCCGAACGACCGCGATGCGACCCGATTTCCGTCCGTTTCTGCACACGCGATGACTTTTCTTTTATAAGCGGCATTGTGGTGCACTCGAGTTTTTGCAGTCGGCCCTTCCACGCCGTCGATGCTAATGCACTACCAGATGACGAACTCCTCAGCACACGTACGAAGTGCTGCACATGGGAAACACATAGGCAGAAATGGCCGACGCGCCATGCCGACGCACGTAGGGGGCGGCCATTTTGGATTTGCCGATGGCAATAGATTAACCGTAATTTTTTTGTTCGCACTCGATTCTAACGCGCATGCGATTTATGAACTCACTTAACCGGAAAAAAGGTGCGCGTTAGATTCGAGTAATTACGGTAAGTTTTCCGAAGGAACATTGCACACACTCAAAATAAGGACACTTTCCACCTTTTTTATTTTTTTTTTTTCTAAAGGAGGGAGGCAAAGGAGAAGGCTTGAGCAGAGATTGCAAAAAAAAAAAATGTTTTTGAAAGACAAACCCAAGCGATTCATAAATACATATACATACAGTGGTAAAGCATGACTTACAAAATAAAACAACAACAGATAAAAATATCACTGTGGTGTACAAAAAATACATGCATATAATAGCATGAGATGTATATAGATGTAGGAAATTAGACTGACATTTCAACTCACCAATAAGTCCGGCTGCGGTATTGACAGCAGCAGTTTAACAAATATCCCCAATGCATCATCCAATGCAGAATCTCCATACAGTGAAAACACACCTGAAATATGAGCAGATATTTAGTCAGTTTCAGTTCACATACACCTGAAAATATTTTGCCAATGGCTAATCCGCAGTACTTACCTAAATTTACATAACCTCCACACAGTGCACTCTTCAGCATACTAAAGCAGATGGCTATGCCCTTCAATCTGAGTCACCCATCAGAAAAATTTCACTTTAGAAAGGTAATTTCTAAAATGGTTGATTTTATAAATACACTAAAACATTGTTAATTCAAAGTCCCTGGGACTGTGAAAAATCTTTGAATTAAGCATGTTTTCAAATTAACGAAACATATAAAAAGTGGAATGCAAGGAACTTTGAATTGTTGAAAGTAGTCAGAGGTGGTTGTTTGCAGTGCCAGCCAGATTGCAGCTCAAAGCAGTACTTTTGCAGCAATACCTAGTCTCGATTTTGCCAGAAACATGGGAGAACAGCAGGCGTCACTGCTGCCAGCACATAAAAAAAGAAAAGAAAAACAGTTTTGTGGTCAGCTGAAATGCCTGCCTGCGGAAAAGAAGAAATGCTTTACAGCTATACAGTGGTGACACAAGGGCAGCATGTCGCCTGCTATTTGTAGTGTCAGCACATCATCGATTGATTGATTTGTGGGGTTTAACGTCCCAAAACCACTGTTTGATTATGAGAGACGCCGTAGTGGAGGGCTCCGGAATTTTTGACCACCTGGGGTTCTTTAACGTGCACCCAAATCTGAGTACATGGGCCTACAACATTTCCGCCTCCATCGTCAGCACATCATGATGCGACCATTTGCTCACTCTTTTTAGCAAAATAAAGAATTTCATAATGGGCAGTATGACATAATTCACCATATTTTTGGCCTCAAACTGGAGGTTCACATATATGATGCAACTTCCATCAGACTGTTCTTTTATTATTTTTCTCCATCTTCCCAGAAAGAATGGATTAATCATGATGCGTTGACGTTGCTGAAAGCATGCAACGTGCTGTCCGCATGTCACCACTGAGTTGCAGTGAAGCACATTTTATTTTCCGCAGGCCCATGTTTTAGCTGACCACGAGAATTTTATTTTTTTTTTTCTTCCTCGCTGGCAGTAGAACGGTTTAGCTGTCACTTATTAGTATCGCCACAATGCATTGCCTTGTGGCTTCTAAGAGCCGTCGTTTCCGCAGACTTGTGTCGAAACAGCATAGCAAATCGGCACACGGTACCCAAAGCTTTGAAATTAACAGGGCTGGTGCTAACCACTGCTTCCAAGTTATTCACTCAAGCTTACATTGAAAAATATGGGACTGCAGAAATCCTTCAAATTATGTGGGATTTCAATATAGCTGAGTTCGAATTAATGAGCTTTTACTGTATCTACCAGAACCACCAGGTTATAATGAGAAGGGAGAAAAAAAGAGCAAGAGAAATAGGGAAGCAGTACGTCTATCTATTGCAAATGGTCACTGCACAAAACAACAGACATATGAATTAGCACAACATAAGTTGAAGTCATGCTTTATGTTTCTAAGTATGAGCCTATTAAGTTCTAACTGCACCTAACATTTATTGAGCTTAGTAGTGTGGCCATTTCAAACACTCCTATTAAGCAAAACCATGCAACACTACTTGTAAGAAATTACATTAGGCAAATAGCCAATTCTTGTATTAAAACAGATTCACATAAAAGTAGCTACTATGAGGTGCTGCTACTACTTGTTCAAAAAATGCAAATGCTTATTAAGCAAGAAAAGAGTCCAAGTAAGCTTCACAATTTAAGTTCTTTAAAAATGCACACAAAGGATACTTCAACTTGTAGATTTGGTCCTTTGGAACTTGACCCAGTGTTAAGATGCATGTGCCTGTAATGCAAATTATTATTTAAATTATATAAATTATTCATTATCATATAGAATAAAAAAGTGCGAATCTATGAAACTTACCATATAAAACCATTGTTCGAGACGTTTCACGAAATAACAAGATGCCATTGGGTGAAGAGACGTCGAAGTGAAGGCGCTGCGATCGGTTCTGTACAAGTTCTGCTACGAGTTTAAGCACTGGTGTGCTCACACTTGGGTCATGGTACCACAGCTCCAATGCCCGGTGCAGAATTGGGAAGTATGCCGGATAACTGTGCACATTGTCAAGTATATGGTGCTAAGTAGAAAACAAGCCATCACCTCCTATGTTATACTGTGCCACGAAACAGGGCACACAAAAGTTGTGCCTTAGGCAGAATATAGACTTGGGCGAGTAACAAAAAATGTTAGCTAATGGTACCATAATTTGACCGTATATGCTATAGGAAACTATCTACATCACATCATATCATTGCATCAGTCATGAGGCAAACTACAGCAGTAAATCAATTAGGAAATTTAGCTGCTATACTGCAAACAAGCTTCACACAAGAACACTACCAGGAACATCTTACATGCATTAGAAGGGCCTTGGCATCTTAAATGTTCGATGAAATAAAACATATACCAGTAGTAAGACAGCTACTTGATGCTGTGAAGATGACTTTGTCCAAGGCTTAACCAGTGACTGCCGGTCAAAAAGAAGGGCACAATGTTCCTATACTCTGTAGCACACAAAGGTCATTACAGCAAGGCTAGTTGAGTGTCCTACATTGAGTGTCCTACATTGGGAACCACAGTGTGACACCTTAGCTATGACTTGTGGGAAAAGATCCACAAGATTAAACTGGTACGCACTATTATGCTAGGCTAACCATACTGCTAGCAGTTAATTGAGCGTAAGAAGTTGTGGTGGAAAAAGGCCCAGATAACTAACTCACAGCACACTTGCGAAAATTCTGCCACAGTGACAAAAATTTTAATGGTTTAAAGTTCACAGGTGAGGCCACCCGCGGATGATCACAGGAAGGCGAACCACGGCAATCTCAAAGTGTGCAGATGATTAGGTCTTGAAGGGCCAACCGGTACATGATACTGCGAGTAAACAGCGCTAAGTCGCAGGAGCAAAGCACTTTTTTGTGTTGCTAATTCTTTTGATTTAGTCCTGCTTGCGCGCTGTTTCCTCATAGTAACAATAAAATGTACTCATGCATGCAACTAGACTTGATAGAACAAGTTTACATGAAAAAGTGTCTCTTGTTCGTTAACAATATGTAATCATGTTGCCGTCAATTAAACAGGAATTGCTAGAAATGGAGCTACGCAAAAGGTCACCATCATGCATACATTCAGAACGAGGTATAGGAAAGCACCACAATACACAATCCCATCTCAGCTTCAAATCCATGAGCTATCAGGACTAATACCTTGAAAACAATTCAGTGTGCAAAACTGCTAAACAGTGCATAAGAACTGTGTACACATGTGCATGACAAAAAAGGATACATCCATTCAAACAGCATCATATAGCTAGTTTTCGTATTGAAGGCGAACACCAGGCCGCGCAGGTCACGGGCAAGACCAATCAACATTTTCTGAAAGAAATCAGCCAGAAATATTTGGTTGGTTAGCTCCCACAGATGCATACACATACATACAAACAAAAACACCAAGTTGTAAGACCTTTCAGTGGACATATCAGAATAGATCTTTGTTCAAAACATAATGGTATCGTTCCTGGTCACTTTTGGTACATGATCAAAAGTAAAATCAAAGTTCACAAACATCTCGTACGGGTGCAATGAAGCCTATGAAATTTATGTGAAGAAAGCAATTGCACGGCTTCACTGTCCAAATTTAACATGGCCTCACGCCTGCCTATAAAAAAACACAGAAGTAATTTGTATACTGTAGTTGTAGGGGTCAGCAACCTACCGTCTGCAGGCTGCACGTGGCCCGCGAGCCAGTATTATACCCCTGGCCCAACATCAGAATCCACCCTTTCTCTATATTGCTGGTACAGTAAAACCTCGTAATAACAATTTGGGACATAACAAACTAATGGATATAATGAAGCAATTTTAATTTTCTTTGAAATTCCCATAGATGCGCATGTATTTAAAACCTCATTTTAGCAAAACGAAAATTTCCTCACAATGAATATAACGAACCATTCTTCGTCCGCAATAAGCGTTTACTGATCATTTCAGTATACGTCAATTCAATATCTTATAGCACGTGACAGTTTACGTCTCATCACGGCTGTGGTAATTTAAAACTCGTGCCTTGCCCTCCCTGCGAGCCCCCTGCCAACACACGTGTGAGAGCGAGTCTTCCTGCCTCCCCTTTGCCCAGGAACTAATGGACTCGCCAGCACAGCAAACCGTGTGAGCATGCGCATCACCCAGCCTCCTTTCTCCTGTATAACTCGTTGACCCGCCCACACATTTGACCTCCTTCTTCCCTTCAGCTCCACAGTGGAGATTGTGGCTTTCTTCCTTGTCGTTTACTGTAGAAGAGCAACACTGCCTGTATCAGTTTCTGCCACTTAACAGGAGATGGACAATTGCAGCAGCAAAGGTAAGCGCAAAAATATAACAATCAAGCAGAGGTCATCAATGTAGAGAGCCGTTCAGTCAAGCGGGCCACCAGGCCCAGACGTCGTGAGACACACTCCTTGACGGCGGGGTTGTGCCTGACTGCGACACTTTCTGCATGTACGTTGGTGCCGATGCTGAAGCGGTGACAACCAAAAAGTTGTCAGATGCGGAAATTGTGCCCGCGGCGACGGGTGTGCATGACGACAGGGACGAATGTGTCGACACCCCGGAGCCTAATATTGGTGAACCCGACATACCGAAGCTCGCACAAGCACTGCATGCGATAGACCTGCTGTGCTGCTTCTTTTGTGGTTACGGTGACGGCGAGACTGGACTCGAAATAACTTATGCAGCTGAAAAAGCAGTCATCCGCGTGAGGAAGGGCCTGCAAAAGTCTATTAAGGACTATTTTTCATCGTAGTGATTTGCCAACTGGTGTGCTGAATTCGGCGAAAATAAAGTGCATTGTTCTTTGTTATTTTGCTAATTTTTTGCCTTTTGACGGCTGTTTTTCTCTGCACGGCGAGATGCTGTGATATTCATTGGTGTGTACATTCTCTTGCTGGCTAATTGTCGGTAGAAATGGATACTGACTATAACAAACTAATGGTTATTATGAAGTAGTTACGAATTCCCTTCAACTTCGTTATAACGAGGTTTGACTGTACCTATTTGAAGGTAGAAGTGACAATTTTGACCACGAATGGGGTTTTCCCTGGTAAACAATGTTTGTAAATAGCAACCTTGTGACAATAAGAGTGCTGCAGCACTGCAAATACCCCGACTTTTCTTTTGCCACCAACAATGCCCCACCTCCCAATTCGCCATGCTGCCCCCGCTGCGTCAGCTTCATTCAACAAAGAGGCCCTCCACCTGAAAAGGTTGCCCCGACCCTTGCTGTAACACATCAATTTGAGCAACCTAAAGATGTTTGGAATGGCAAACAATACAACAGTACACAGAAACTAATGTTTCCTTAAAAGCCTAAAACCTTATCGTAAAATTTATTGGCCCAAAAACCAAGCATGGCCAAAGAGCACCAGGCCATTGGTAGTGTGCAGCACAGAATGAAAGCAAATATGTGAATGTGGCTTGAGTGTAAATGGGACTAAAAACATTCTACGTAAAGTGTGTAACTAATATATAGTGAAACCTCAGTGATACAAATCTTGAGGATAAGGAAAGATATTCGTATCACTCAAAATTCATATAACCAGAAAACACGGAAAAACGCAGCAACAACATGAGCAGGTCTGAATGATTTCCAGTAAAGCTTCTAGACATCTGCAATCATACTTGTATACTTGTAAATATATGGCGGATGTGCGGAACCAGATGCGCTGTGACCCGAGACTGTAAGTAGCCCCTTCCTAATCTTAGTTTCTTTACCTTAGGCCCGAGTAGGAGCTGACCTCTTTCCAAATGCTGGGAAAACATGCCTGGTTGTGTATGACGCGTACGTCATTTATCTCGAACTGTAGCTCCTTTTACAAACGACAACCCACCATGAAATTAATTAGCTTGGACTAATGGACTACTCTTAATGTGCTGTAGAATTCCACTCGAAGTATCCACATATGTTGGACCACACTTTTGTTTCACAGGAATTTTGCTCCTTCACCAGAATGTGCAACTTCACACTATAATTTCAAGTCCGAGGTTCTTTTGTTCAAATGACAACACTTGCAAGATAACCAACGGAATACGTGCCATATTCAAAACTCATACATATCTTCAGCCACATATTATTCACTCCCTTTATCACACACATATTCACAGCCATCTCTTATTGCATATCAGCCTGGGGCAACACATATTTCACCCATCTCAACCAACCTCAATGAATACAAAATCAAGCACTTTGTCTGATAACATTCAGTCATTTCTTAACCCATTAACTGGCAAGATAAGAAAAAAACAGTAGAAACAATTTTTTGCTTATTTATTTCTTCTTTAGAACCACCAGAGAACCACCAAAACAAGTTTCATGATGCTTCTTGAAAAACTAAATAAGTTAGTGGAGGTCAATGATTTTGTTAATCTGCCAGTTAACGGTAAATAGGCGGGGTTTAAAAAAAAAATCACAGCATATCCACAGAGTGAATGATGATGAGTGGGGCGAAACGTGCATCCGTGCTTGCGCCTGTCCATGCTTCCCTCTGTTCGTGCTTTTGCCTGTCTGTGCGTCCGTCTGTCCATGCATCCGTGCTTTCGTTCATCCGTCTGTATGTGCGTCCGTACTTCCATGCTTTCGTTCTTCCATTCTTCCATTCAGCCAATCGTTCTTGCTGCTGTCCACCCAGCCATTTGCCTGTCCGTGCTTCCGTTCATCCACTCGTTCTTGCTTCCATCCGTCCATCCATCTCTGTGTATGTCTGTGTGTCCCTTTGTCTGCCTGTCTGTGCTTTTCCATCAGTCCGTCCGTCACTCACTCTAGCACATTGTCCATGCCCCACTTTCCATAAAAGATGTCTTCATCCATTCCTGCAAAGAATAAGATCAGTGAGTTCTACGAAAATACACTTGCGTCGTTCCACTTTGAAACACACGATATTCCTGGCACAAAGTTTTCATGGGGAAAAACTACTCGGTATATTCATGGTTCCGACTGCATACGCAATAGCTTGTCTGGTTTATTTGCGATGAACATGTCACAGAATCTAACAATTACAACGCTAAAAGTGCGTGACCCGAAGCGTGCAGAAGACATGCTATTCTACAATGCGCGTAGTGTTCCACAACCCTTGCCTGGCAGCTCAACAATATTGTGGACCGCGGTAACGGCTGCTCCCTCAGCGTCTCAACTAAACAATGCCATGACATTCACACCATAGGTTCCTCATACCTCCTTCCAAGTATTTAAAAAATCACTATTTGCTTACCTTGTTGGAGCTCTTGGAACGTGAGGCAGAAATCCGTCGCCGCGGAGAAAGTCAGTGAACCGCACGTGCTACATTCTTGTCAAAAAAGCATGCATTGGCTTTGTTGTCAAAAAAGCATGCATTGGCTCTGTTGTCTTATTTACAAACTAGAATCAAGAGCACATGTCCTTTTGCCGCTAAATTTAGCAAAACATGCTCACATTATGCGTGCATTTTGAACAGGAGTGGTTTTTTTCTTGGGTCTAAAATATTGTTGATCTGCAGGTTAAACGGTTAACCAATGCAATGCCACTTTATCAAAATTTAAATATCGATCCTCTTCATCAACTATTTCAGCTGAAGTTATCCATTGTTATGTATAAGCTTTTTCATGGTATTGTACATATTGATGGCATTATCGTGGATAACCTCGTAAATAACGTTACTAGGTTTTCCGAACTGGATAACTGTCGTCTGCCTTAGATTCGCACGAGCTACGGCAAGTTCACCACCACGTTTATGAAAATCAAGCTATGAAATTCCCTTCTTTACATCATTAAATCATCAACAACGAAACATGCATTCAAAAACCAAGTAAAGAAATACTTTTTGCAACAACTGTCTTCATCCTAGTAAATTATTTTTGTTTGGTACATGTTATATTGCTTTTCTATTATGTATGGTAAATTTTGATTGTTTCTTTTTTCAGTGTTACCTTTTCCTTTATGTTTGTTCACCATATAAATATTTTTGCTTTTGTATTTATTTTCACACTGTTGATTTTTTTTTTCTCACCGAAGATATTGTAACCACTGAATGATGTATACCTTCGCTTTTCGTTCACATCTTGTATGAGAACCCCCCCCCCACACACACACACATTTCTTACCTTTGGGGCTCCTTGAGTATTACAAGTCTTGTACACACTTTTTTGTAAACTAATATTGTCGATATTGAATAAACTTTGAACTTTGAAAACGGTCTAGCAGAGAAAAGAGTGCAAGTAATGAATTACTGTATTTACTCGCGATTTTTTTTCTTAAAAATCGAACCAAAGTTGGGGGTGCGTTTATTATGGGGGGCAAATTTTATAAAAACTTTTTCGGGAGGACCAAAAAATGCGGAAACGCAAAAAAAAAGTTACGTCACTTAACCTTTCGCAATTGACATACGTGTACACCGTTTGGAAACAGATGCTTCATTGCACTTCCCTTATCTTCAGTTGTTGAAGGTGCTATCTTCTGCAAGCTGTCCCTATGCAGCCCGCACACTTCATAAAAGCATTTCGGGGCTTCCTTTTCTCGCAATTGTTTAACCTCAACAGTGGTATCTGATGCGATCTCGAGGGGCGGTCAGAAGCGTGCGCTATGACGTACTTGTCTTCCCACGATGAGCGCTACGACGCCGTTGACATTGCACCAGGCTACCCCCGAAGCATGAAAACAAACTGTCAATAACAAGATTAACGAGAAAGTACAGCTGCCGTTTCGCTGTTCACATGAGAAGTTACTGCAGAAAAGATAGCCTATATCTTGAATTCCATGAAGTACATGCGGATAACAAGCATGAAGAGCAAATTGCAACCGAAGCCAGAATCAGGGGTGCTACCACATTGCAGAAATCATCATGATCTTTTCTGGGTGACAAGCGATTTTTTTCTGGTTAACCAGAAACCTGCTACACGATGGCGACAAATGGCCCTTGCAGACAGCCATGGCGACAGCAAACCCTGTCGTCGTTGCTTGAAAATCACGGGCATGTGGATGGGTATTAACATTTCATATTTGCATGAAGGGGCCGGCGGTTGGTGAGAGAAGTTTCGTGACTTTTGCTCATTGTGTGCTTATCAGCTGCGATGTCTCTACACTTGCACCGTTCGTGAATGCCGCTGTGGCACATGGATAATAAAAAAAGACGGGACGTGCGGCACGCAGATAGAATACGGCGCATGGCGGCGCGTGGCAGCGCGCAAAGGGGGGGAGGGAGCGAGCCGCGGGGGCCCGTAATAATAAAAAAACAGAAGAGATCCAACGAACAAGGAGGCGCCAGGTGTTGGTTAGTGAGACTGCAGTGGACGAATGTAGGTGATGCGTTTATCACGCGGAGGAAAAAAAATCCAGATTTTGATGAATGAAGTTTTGTTGAGTTTATTATGCAAGTGCATTCATTACGCGAGTAAATACACTACTTGCTTCTGCTGCATTAGTTGCGTTGTTTGCCATTGTTTGCCAAAGAAGATTTATGAATTTGTCTTCTAAACTGCGGGATTGCACAAGTGGAAGATGGGAGAGCCCCATGTGAGCTGCTTATGGCCAGAAAGCTGATGGGACGACTGCCCGATTTCGTGGAATGCCAGACTTTTGAGGTTAAACACACACAAGCAACCCGATCAAATCACCCACTACCACCACTGAACGAAGGTGATTGAAAAAGAATTTGCAGAAAAATAATAGTAGGACTATAAAAATATGGGTCGAAAACCGCTCGCACTTTGATCCTATAAAGTCCACAGGGAAGATCGAGGCCACCTTTGTTGAAATCACGAACCCCTGCTAATGACCCAAGATGATTTTAGCAAACATCATACTACATATGACGACTGGAAAGATTCCGCAGCAGTGCAGACAGAGAACATAGGGCACGCTTTATACGCCGACGAGCCACGAAGTGGACAACGGCAGGACAATGGCCACACTGGAGATATCACTAGGCCCAAAGCCAGCCGCCCCGTGGTCCTTATCAGCTGCACCAAAAGCCGGTCAGACGTCAGGGACTCCTTCAGAACTCCCCGCTGCAACAGGACTATTAGGGCTCAGCTATCGAAGATGAACAGCCACCCATCAGCGAAGAGACTGGTGTCAGCCGTAGTGCAAGGCCTAGGAAAGGGCCCTCTCATTTCGCCTACAGAAAAGCCTTTAAAAAAATTCCTTAAATTCATATTATTCTTTCTGTGCTCTTTCACAGAAATGGAGGTGTATTGGGATCATGTAGCTAGTCTAGCAACCATGAGGCTGGCAGGACTTATAAAAGGGAAGACGCTACAACAATAAAGCACTTACGTTATGGGTCTTTTGTGTCTGCCTGTCGACGCACATGGAGCTTTTGATCAAGATAACCAAGAATTGAAACTAACTAGAGTCTAATTATTAAATGGATGTCTATTACATTAATAAAGAAAAGGTGACTATTTTACAGAGATATTATATTGAGGTTGAAGTGTACTTAAATACCAATGTGCACTGAAGTTGTTTTGAGTACTGGGAGTGATATGCCCCACTGTCCATCGAATAATCAAGATTTCAATGAAAACCCACCTGGAAAGAAAACTGTGAAAAGAAAACTTTAGAAAAACTGAAAAATAATCGGCTATTCGATTGCCAGCACGAAAAGAAACTTCTGCTGTTCTATCAAAAAGCCAATTCATTATTTCACGAAAATGAGACTGTATAAGTCAAAGAGCAAGGCATCATAAAATAATATACTCAAGCAATTTACTTAAAAATCTTGAGTTACCATGGCTCTGAGCCTTTACCTTGGCCTCGTCGGCATTGAACAGAGCGGAATCTGCACTGGCCAGTGCAGCACCAACAGCTTCAAATGCAGCAGTGAGGGGCCGCATGAATTGAATGAAGCGTTCCTCATCTTCACCCAGCTCAACCATAAGTAGTCGGCCCAAGGAGGTGTAGAATGTGGAACGGCAGCGCATGTCCATGCCTCTTTCTCGGCCTCCACCTGCAGAACGTGAACACGATTTCTGCACCTTAATTTTGCGAGTACCAAGCTAAAACTGATATTATCTCTTTGGTTTCATCTGCATCAACTCAATATAACAAAAGGTTGTTCTAGAAAGTGCTTCACCATACAAAAGCCACAGCTTAACAGATACAGCTATGGTTTTGAGCTCGTACAAGATGGTAGAGCTACTCAGAAGGCTACAGGCAGAAAACTACAAAATAACGCTGGTCAACAAAGCAACGCCGCTCGCGTGCACGGGGGCTGAGCTTGTTCGGGCACGTCATGCGAACGTCACCTCTTGGTCAGGTGCCGGGGAGGGTGGGAAAGAGGTTTGGCTTGCGAAGGCTACGCGGAGGAGCAGCAAGGGTTTCGAACTCTTCTCCTCTCACCCTCGTTTCGTGCCGCTTCAAAAAAAACTGTTTTCTCCGCTCGTAATGAACCGATTTGAGAAATTTTTGTGGCAAAACGTTCCTCATCAAACACCCAACAACTCCCACTGTCTAACTAAAATTCGGCATGGGGCCTGGTGAGTGGCCCTTTAACAATTTTATTAGACAAAAGTGATTCAAATACATACAGCTTGGCACAGCTTGGCACTGCAGAATATGTGACCATTACATTCACCATATTAGCAGGTATCCAAAAAAAAGGCTCATTTTTATGTCAGACCTGTTCATAGCTGACTTAACTGCATTACAGGTGTGCAAGCAGAACATTTTCACTTGCTTAAAATCTCATTCGCGTCGAATAAGCTGCCCCAACACAGGCATATGAAGAATAACAGTGAAAAAATAAGGCAAAAAGCTAATTTGAGCTACTAGTGCAACTTCCCAATTCAAATAAAAACTATAACACACAGTATCTGTATGTGTTATGTAAAGGCACTACAGTTAAACCTGAATATAACGAATTGATAAATTCCCGGCAAAATTCATAATAAAGAGGATTTTGTTATATGCAGGTACGTGCGAAAATTTGGGAAATAACGTACAAGTTACACAAAGGTGGGACAGAAGGCAGAGCTAACCTAAAACACTTACTTAGCCATAAAAAACTGCGTTATTACTGTGATAGCATTTATATGGACACACTCGGTGGGTTTTTGTCATCGCCACGATGTTCCGTAACACCAGTCTAAATTGATAACATGTCCCCACGCACCGTAACTTTCACGAGTGGGTAAAAGCAAGCGAGTGCTGCTGAAGCTGAGATCAAATGAGTCGGCTTATCTCTATCACCTGGAAGGAGCACAAAATAACATTCCCCGGCACGTTAGAACTGTGATCGAATGTTCAAACAGAGAGGGAACAACCAGTCTTAAGCGAGCATGAAAAAACGCGAGAGGGTGGTGCTCAAGTGGCAACAATGAACTTTGATTTTATGGGCGGTTACAATCGCTGGCGCGCGTGCTATCTCAGCAAGTATACCCCTGCCTTTTCAACATGAAAAGACTGAGTGAAAAGAGCACTTCTCCATGGAGCAGCGATATTTGCTCACACCAGCGTTTGTGGTAAAAGTTCGGCAATGTGGGATCCAAAAGAGTTGGCTGCCAAACTTACTTCGTGTAACATAATTTTTTTTGCTATCGGGTTCACTGCATCGCATTAAACACGCCGTCGTGTGGTTGCCACAGCTAATTGCGAAGGCTACGATGTTGCGAACTCACGGCCTGGCACAAGATGGAGGAATTTAACAAGTCGACCTCCGAAGATCTGTCCCAGTTGTCTCCGAGAGTTTTCAACAGCACCTAATCTGACATACCCTCAGCAGTAACGACACGATTGTTCGCATTTAAAAACAAAAACAAAAAAAGACCACAACATGCGTGTGCAGTGAAATCATGCACGCGTGCACGGCATCAAAAACGAAGGGCGAACGACACGGATACCATGAAAAACTATTCTGTAAAGCGCCCTCGGTATGCAGCGTGGCCCCACATATATGACGCTAACTGAAAATGTGGCACTGCCAACGTAAAAATAGGTGGTGGCTGCTTTCTTTTTTTTTTTAAGGGGGGGGGGGGGCAGATCCGCGCATGCGCCCATGGCGGCAACACCGGCTTGTGGGTCGCAGGCCCGCCGCTTTATGTTTCGGTGGTGGCGAGGCACCCGTGGAAGATGCATGTGTGTACCAAAATGACAAAATCCTGGACAAAATTCCTACATTGTTCGTGGGAAAAATTCATTATATCAAGGTTGTCTCTTGCTGTTAATTTGTTATATAGAAGTCACAAATATATGTGCTTCTAAGGAGCAATCACAGGGAATAGAAAAACTTTTTTTATATCGAGGCATTCATTATGTGGAGATTCGTAATAGGCAAGTTTAACTGTGCCTGTCTTTGTGGGCCTACATATGCCCCTCTGAGCACTTGAGGCAGCTTTCACTTGTGGTTGTAGACAGGACATACATGTCCCACTGATCAACAATGGGCTAAGAAAGCTGAAGAAAGCTGCAACACTAAATACCCTGGCCGGGCCCAAGTTTTTTCATGGCACAGTAGAGTAGACTCTCAGTAAACGGAAATCTGTTAAACGAAACCACTGCTTGACTGGAACCATTGTCTCTACAATGCTTAGTTTTGGACTTGTATTTTGCACCCATGTTCACCTCTCAGTAAACGGAACTCCTGTTATATGGAACACATTTTCCCGGTCCATTCAAGTTCCGTTTAGTGAGAGTTTACAGCACGACTGAAATTTTATCCAAGTTGAAGTTTTATTAATCATCAGTTTTCACACAATAAATAAACATCATTACTCTGCTACAGAAATATGGCAACGTCTTTGACACACAAGCAGTTAGCTCACGTATGTCTCAATTGGCAAACCTTCAAAAATAAAAACCGACTTGGTCCCCCAAAGAAAATTATCATAGTAGGCACGCACCAGCAGTTCCTGCTGCACTTGAAGTTGTAGGACATGGACTCCTGTTGTCACTGTTGTGGCCAAGAAAGGGGAAGTGCTCGCTCTGAAAGAATGTGAACCCTTCATAAATTGCACAGATGAAACGTTTTCTAACAACCACAACAAACAATGCAGACATCATGAATCATGATACACAGTTAACATTGAATGAGCTGCTTATGTTATAGAGAGGTGATGTTACTGCACAGTAAGTCTTCTTCAACACACATTCCTGAAGATTCTATATTTTCCATGCCACAGCAGCACTGATCATTATGGAAATATAAAACGGATGATGCAAGCAGCATCACAGTTTATGAGAAAATGATACAATTAGCAACCACTACTGCCAAAGACACTATAAACAGGGCTAGCTGGTGATGGAACTTCATGGCAAAACGCATTGTTTGTGGCACAGAAAGGTGATGCAATGTGTAACTAGTGGCCATAAAGAATATTTTGCTTCATCTGTGAATCTATTTAGGCTCCGAACTGTTTTTTTTTGCTGGTTCTCAACCGGTGGCCGATGAAAGTTCGCCATAGCGTTCAAGAAAACGCAATCGAATTCGTTAAGGCACAAAAAAATCTGGTCTGCAAGTGCATCAAAGATGCGTTGGAACGCTTCTACACGTGAACGTGAGCGGAAGCCAGGGGTCAGAAATAATAACTGTAAGTTTATTTTTGCAGGGGTGTTCTCGCTGCTCAAATGCTACTGGATACTGTTTCGTTGTTGGTTCCTGCGATGCCAGCAGCTCTGATAACAGCAGCATGTACAGCTATGATCAGTAGAGGCAGATCGAATACACCAGGTTGGTCCTTCGCTGCTGGCCAACACTGAAGGACCATATCACAATACGTAGCGATCAGAAAAACACTTTGTTTTTGTGCCAGAAAGCAAGGTGTCTAGAGCTGGAAACGAAGGTATCAGAGTTTAATTAGGAGCCATGCTTGAGCTGCAATTTCTATCAGTCATTCCAAAGTGCATCCAAAGACTGTTATGACATTTTTAACCCATCTTTTTGGATTTGTGCCATGTGAAGTGTATATGTAAACACATAAAAATATATGGAATTTTCACTGTGCACCCCTTGTAGTTGTGTTTTTGTCACTAAAGGCACCTTCTGCTGTTTTGCCATTATATTTACTCTTTCTTTGCTTTTGATTTTCAGTAGTTCGCATTAGTTGCACAGATGGGGGAGGGGGTAACGACCTACATTCCATTCCGACCTATACAGTTAAACTTGGATATAAAAAAATTGATGAATTCCCGGAAAAATTCATTATGAAGAGGATTTCGTTATAAGCAGGTTCAGTACGAAACTTTGGAAAATAAACAAGCAAATTAAACAAAAGAGGGACTAAAGCCAGAGCTAACCCAAAACACTTATTTCACAATAAAAAAAATTACGTTATTATTACAATAGCAATTATATAGACACTGTCGGCGAGTTTTTGCCGTCGCCGCCATGTTTCGTAAGAAGTCCAAATTGATAACATGACCCCGCCCGTCATAACTTTCACGAGCGGATAAAAGTACATGAGCGCTGCTGAAGCAGAGATCAAATGAGTCAGCCCATCCCTATCACCTGGCAAGTGCACAAGATAACATCTCCCGCATGTTAAAACTGCCGTCGAATGCTCAAAGAGAAAGTAAACCACCCATCTTGAACAAGCATGAAACAACGCGGAGAGGGGAGATCGAGTAGCAATAATAAACTTGGATTTTAAGGGGGGTGGCGATCGCTGGTGTGCTTGCTATCTCAACGAGTATCAGTGCGGTTTCAACGCAAAGGAACTGTGCGAAAAAAGCACTTCTCCCTGGAGCGGCCGTATTTGCTCACACCAGCATTTCTAGGAGTTTCGCGACATCGGATCTACAAGAGTTGGCTGCCAGCCTTACTTCTTGTAACATTGCAATTTTTTGCTATCCCGTTCATTGCATTGCATTCAACACGCCGTTGTGTTGCCAGAACTAATCGGCTAATTGCCAAAGCTACCAGCCTGCGAACTCGCGGCGCTGTGCAAGACAGAAGCGCGTGAAGAGTCAACCTCCAAAGATCCGTCGTCACCGTGGTCTCTGAGAGTTTTCAACAGCGCCTAATCTGACATTCCCTAATCTGACATTCCCTCCATGGTGAGGACACGGCTGTCCGAAATTAAGAAATAAAGTCACAGTTTCAGTGCAAGGTCGAAACATTGAATGGGATAACAAGAGCTTGGAATGTAACACTGAGAACAGCAAGCAGATTGAAACATGCAGCGCGCTGCTCACGCACCAATGACACACGAAAACAACTTACACAGGACTACCGTAATTACTCAAATCTAACGCGCACCTTTTTTCCGGTTAAGCGAGTTCATAAATCGCATGCGCTAGTATCGAGTACGAACAAAAAAATTACGGTCAATCTATTGCCATCGGCAAATCCAAAATGGCCGCCCCCTACGTGCGTCGGCATGGCGCGTCGGCCATTTCTGCCTATGTATTTCCCATGTGCGGCACTTCGTGCATGTGCTGAGGAGTTCGTCATCTAGTAGTGCATTAGCATCGACGGCGTGCAAGGGCCGACTCCAAAAACTCGAGTGCACCACGATGCCGCTTTTAAAAGAAAAGTCATCGCGTGTGCAGAAACGGACGGAAATCGGGCCGCATCACGGTCGTTCCGAGCTCCCGAAACGTGCGTGTGGGACTGGCAAAAACAAAACCAGAAGATTGTCGACAGCAAAGCTTCACGCAAAGGCTTCAGTGGACCACAGCAGGGTCGGTTTCCGCAAATTAAAGAGCTGCTCGGCGAGTATGTCTTGAGCAGCGAGCGGCACAGCGGCCCGTGACGACAAAACTGCTCCAAGTGCGGGCTATGCAATTAGTCCTAGAAAAAGGTCTAATGCGAGCCAGTTTAAAGCGAGCAGGTGCTGGCTAACTAACTTTATGAAGAGGAAAGGCTTTTCCCTCCGAAGGGGAACATGCATATGCGAAAAGTTTTGCAGAGGAGTACGATGAAAAGCTTCACAGTTTTCAGAGGTTCGTCCTAAACTTGCGGCGCAACAACGGTCACCTGCTTGGGCAAATCGGGAATGCCGATCAGACGCCTCTTTACTTCGACATGCCTGGCACCACAATCGTCGAGAAGAAGGGGGCGAAGCAAGTTCGCGTGCTGACATCGGTCCACGGTAAAACTACAACGACGGCAATGCTCTGTTACACGTCAGATGGGCACAAGCTTCACCCGTACCTCATATTTAGATGGAAGACGCTCCCGAAAGGAGTAGTTTTTTCGAGTGGTGTGATTTTGCGGGCCAGCGAGAAAAATGGGTGCGCGTTGCAATCGATGTCTTAATTTTTTTTTTGCGGTGGAAATCGGGTGCGCGTTACAATCGAGGGCACGGTAGAATCGAGTAAATACGGTACAGCGAACTAACAACGTTTACCACTCGACACTTAACGCACTGCTTAAACAAAAACGAGGCACTAAACGTCATCACAGGTGCAGATATGAGTGAAAACTAACAAGTGCCCCAGCAGCTGTTACTTCACTCTGTTTGAAACACGCACTCTTTTCGAAAATGGCACCTACCCAGCGAGCGAAGTGATTTTTGTGCTCCCACCAAATAAATTCAATCGTTCCGGTAAAAGGCGAAGGCGTGCGATTCTCCCCACAGAAGGGTAAACGCACGCACACAAGCATCTCACCCCCACCCCCCATTCGCAGGGCAAAGTATGCGTGGGAGACACTAGCGCGTCGGCGCATCGTGACGAGCTGGGCGCTGAGCGGGGGCAGCTTTTTTTTTTTAGTCTTCATATGTATAGACACGTGAAGCTATATATATATTGAATCCCGACGGCGGCGGCGACGGCACGAAACTAGCCAAGACTGTCCATATAATTGCTATTCCAATAAAAAAAAAAGCAAAGTTGAACAACGTCGGGGACCACATCATGCGAGCGCAGTGAAACTCCGCACGCGTGCACGGCATTGAAAACGAAGAGCGAACGGCACGGACACAGACACGGATGCCGCGGAAAACTATTCGGTAAAACACCCTCCACATGCAACGCAGCCCCACATATGTGACACTAACGAAAAGCATGGCACTGCCAACGCGCAAAAATAGTTTTCTTTTTTTTTTTTTTATTGGTTTGGAAATCGTGGTGGGGTGTGGGGGGCATACTTGTTGATGCATTCGTGGCGGCGAGAACGGCAGCAATGCCGGCTCGTGGGGTGCAGGCCCGCCTGCCCGCCTCGTGCTTACCTGCGCACAATAATGAGGGCTCGCTCTCGCCTGGTACGCCGTGCATGCCTCCGCCGATTCGCGCTTCGTCAGGGGCGGGGCAGCCGCGGAAGATGCACACTCGTACCAAAATGCCACGATGCGGAGCGAAATTAGTAGATTGTCCGTGGGGAAAATGCATTATATCAAGGTTTTTTTCCCCCGTGTTACTTTGTTACATAGAGGTCGCAAATAGATGCGCTTCTATGGAGTAAAGGCGGGGACTAGAAAACGTCATATCGAGGAATTCATTATATTTTAACTGTACTCCAGTTTTGAAAGTAGCTCTATATTTTCAAGTGGCAGTGCCGAAAGAACCGACACTCACATGACACAAAGTTTCATTTGCTGTCACAGCGGTAGCATTCCTTTACATTTACGCTTGTTGTGACAAAGTTTGAGTTTTCAATATGCAGGTTAGTCTAGGGGTTTCGACACGCGTGACCTCGACACTGTTTTCTGTCAGGATCAGAACCAACTGGCTGACCTCTGGCTGTCTGGGAGATGCCAGATGTTGAAAATTGAAAAGTCCCTCTATGTTTGTTTGAGAAATGAATAATTTTGTCCTTGTACCTCAATAAGGGCTTGCCCAGCTTCAATTTTTACTAGATTCAGAACATATGTTCGTTTCCCATGTTTATTCGAAAATATATCAACAAAGCTCCGCTGTACAAGCCGCATGTATTTGAAGGAAGGGGTTTGACGACATACACGACGGAATTTTCACATTACTCATTTCTTGGCCAGACAGTGATATTTATCAAACCCTCTAAACCTCCCACGTCAATTTTCGTCTACACCATGTTAAGGAGGCCATCACGACAGCAACCAGATGCAGGCGACTTGCTAGACAGATACATCGATATAAACACTCAAATTCCATTGGGTTCTCTAAAGAATGCCTTGTGTTTAATACGCACTTCAAAACAACTTGGGATGAGTGCTGAATGTGAAAAAACGAAAATGGATGTTCTAAACATTTTTGAACAAATGCTATGGTATGTTTAACATTTGCGAAGTCTACATCAAGCTGGTATTTCAGACAAGTATTCAGTATACTGTACAACTTTTGTTCAAAAGGGCTTAAAATAGCCATTGTTGTTTTCCTGTGCTCATTCCAGGTCATTCTGACGTGCTTATTTACTTTGCAACTCTCTCAATTTAGGCTAACTGTGGCTCCGAAAATGGCATCTGGAATTTAAAAACTACATTTCGTGCTAGAAAAATTATTGCATATTTGAAACAAGCAGGAAAATACAATATTACCTCGTTAACTCGAATTCACATACCTCGAAAAATCGGCTAAATCGAATTTTCCGTGGCACCGGAAATTTTCCTATACAGCAAAACATCGTTGATTCGAAGTCACTGGGACCGTGAGAAATCTTCAAAATAAGTGGGCTTTCTAATTAATAAAACATACAAAAAATGGGATGCAAAGAACTTAAAAATATTCAAAGTATAATCAGTGCTAGTCGTTAGCTTTGCTGACTAGTTCACAACACCAAGGATTATATTTTACAGCAATACAAGGTCACAGTTTTGCTGCAAACAAGGGGGAATGCCTCGCTCTTGCAATCACAAAAAAAGAATAAAAATAAAATAAACTTTTCCGTAATCAACCGAAATGCGCGTTTGCGAAAAATAATACATCTACTCTGCAACACAGTAGTGAAAGACGGGCAGTGTGTCACCTGCTTCTCGCTGCATCAGCATGTGCTGATGAGACTATTCGCCCATTCTTCCTAGTGAAATAAAGAATTTCATAATAGGCACTGTGACGAAATTCGCGATCTTTTGGCTGGAAAAGATGATCAATGAAGTGTTCGAACCAAGTTTCTGAGGTAGGCGTAGCAGGCGAGAATTCCGCCAGCAGTGCAAGTGTGCAAATTGCTTGAGCAACCGGCACTCGTAGGTTCGCACACATCACGAATTCCGCCAGACTATCCTTTATTAATTTCTTTATATTCCCAGAAAGAATGGGTAAATCTTGATGCACTGGCGTTGCAAAAAGCATGCGACATGCTGCCCGCGCATCACCACTGTATTGCAGTGAAGCATGTTTTGTTTTTCGCAGGCGCACATTTTAGCTGGTCACGAGACAGCTTTCTCACTTTTTTTTTACAATTTTATTTCTCGTGCTAAAAGTACCAAGGCTTGGGTGTTTCAGCTGCCACTCAGTAGTATCGCTACAGTACATTGCCTAGTGCATTTTAAGGGCTGTCGTTACCGCAGTTTTGCGGCAAAATCAGGATCGGAAATTGGTACACTGCGCCCAAAGTTTTCCAATTAACCGCAATGGTGCTGACCTCGAACTAAAAGCGATTTTGAAGTAACCAAGTGCGAATTGACGAGGTTTTACTGTACGTCCCATGTATATTTTCCCTTTATCTTGAGGTGTTTTTGGATCAGATTGCGGATAACTCGAAATCTTGACTGGGAGTGGAACAAAAATTCCGCTGTGGGACCATTTCACAAGATTCGCGTGATGCTGCCACGCCTGCAGTCCGTTTTTTTTTCTTTATTATTTAGCAATGCCTGCCACTACGTCCATGCTTTCTGCAAACACAAAGTGCGCGAAGTTTCAGCCCAGCGACATATAAACTTTGTCAAGCAACCCTGTGGCACATCATGTGACACATGTGCTGAGCAAGAAGGCCCTCTGCCCATCGCTTGGCGTAGTTTGCTTCGTTTGCTTTGAGCAATGCCCGTGATTTTCCGTGAAGTGTGATTTCCATTCATCTGCACAAACTGAGTGGTACAGATTTTTTGACGACTGCGAGGAGCGGCAACTTAGCGTGAGTACGGCAAGCATGGCGTCAAACCAGTGCAAATCGCCAACACTACAAAAAAAAGGTTGCCCTAATAAAGGAAGTGGAGAAAGGAGGCCGAAAGAAATCGAGCATCGCGCCAGAATTCAGCATCCCTTTATCTACGCTTTCAACTGTGATGAAAAACAAGAAGGTGCTGGATGGACTTCAGCGGAGCTTCTCTAGCCAGCGGAAGCACGTTTGAGGGTCAAAGTTCGGAGACATTGAAGCAGTGTTGATGGTATGGCTTCGATTGATTTGTGGGGTTTAACGTCCCAAAACCACCAAATGATTATGAGAGACGCCGTAGTGGAGGGCTCCGGAAATTTCGACCACCTGAGGTTCTTTAACGTGCGCCCAAATCTGAGCACACGAGCCTACAACATTTCCACCTCCATCGGAAATGCAGCCACCGCAGCCGGGAATCGAACCCGCGACCTGCGGGTCAGCAGCCGAGTACCTTACCTTAGCCACTAGACCTACGCAGCGGGGCTAATGGTATGGCTTCGAAATAAGGTCGAGTGCAGGGGCGGGGAAAATCGACTTGTGCGATGCGTCAAGCAGCTCGAGAACACATCCCTAGGCACGAGTACGACCGCAAAGCAGATGAGCATTAAGCCGTTTTTCTCTAATAAATAAAATGGCAGTAGGGCAAAACTCAGCCGGTTGAAGTCTTTTGTATGTCATTTTTTTCTCTTTTAAACCTGCACGAAAGCTGAAGAGCCAGTAAGTAGTACCAATTTTTCTGAAAAGCCCTTATTTTTAGCGGCAATTAGCGCAGCTTTGCTCATCTCAAAAGTCTGTTCATCTCGAAATTCTCCCTGAATTTTACGACTTCGAGTTAATGAGGTATTACTGTATACATAAACTCATCGAGTTTTATTTAAATTGATACAGAATATTTAAAGTTTACAGGTACAGTGTCACCCTTTTAAAACAATTTTCTTATGTCTATAGTAACAAAATGTAGCACAATGCAGTGCAGAGATAAGGAAGCAACAGCAAAGCCTTCAAAATAAAACTAATGCTAAAGCAAACACGTATATGCAGAATGCTGCATTCCTACCTTCCTTTTTCTCTCTAACCTCCATCTTTACTCCTCACCCTTCCGTACTGCAAGGCGTTGACCCCTGCCTTTATGATGGGGGGCAGAAAATAACATTTGAAAACTACTACTGATCATCATCATCATTATCCAGATAAAATTAAAAAGTGGGAAGGGGCAGACAATTAAACTTACGGTATGATTGGAGAGCATGAACTGAACTTCCTCCAGTTTCACCAATTTCCTCACTGATGAGTAGCCAACACTCAGGTCACTCAACAGCTGAAGTGTCTTGCTCACAATAGCATCACTGTAGCTCCAATACTTCAAGTTGGTTATAATTTTACGAACAAACACACTCAGCACCATGGAGTCATCTGAGAGACCAAGGACCTCTGATAGACGACGGTACACCTGGAACAACAAATTTCACAGCATGAATTGCAAGTCACATAAAAGCAGACACTGCCAAATATGTGCTAAATATGCAGCTATGATATATAATTTCTCCGACAATGGTCAGGAGCAGAATTCACATCAGGGTGTCTATAGAGTTGACCATATTCAAATTCCTCGAGTTTTCGAGGTTTTCCACAAGTGTTTTTTTTTTTTTTAAATCCCCCGAGTGATATAGTAGAACTTTGTTTTATGTCATGACTGGCTGACACAATGTCCCACATTGCTGTCACTCCGAAAAGCATGTTAAAGAACAAAAAACTTAATCCACTTTCAGTTAAAAAAACAAGAGAAGTAATACTTATTTCCTTCAAAAAGCAATAAAGGTGATACAGTAAAACCCCGTTAATTCGGATTTCACGGGACCGCAGAGAATGTCTGAATTAACCGAGGGTACAAATTATCGCGAGTACAAATAAAACACTTGAAAAATGTCTCCTACACCATCAGACTTTTATTTCTTAAAAAAGTCTGTGATCGCGGTTTGCTTCACGGACGCAATGTGCGACGAAGGCACAATTTTGCGAAGTTCCTGCAGGTGGCTTAGTCCGCACACACTGTCAGAGGAAAGCATGCATATGTCCTCCATAATGGCCAATGCATGCGTAGTAGCCTTCGTCATAGAGCGCCATGAATGCTCGTCAGCATCACTTACGTCCTCGTCTGCCAATTCCCCTTCGTCGTCCAAGACTTGGGCGACGATATCCCTGTCGGTCACTGTGCCGGCCACGGCAACATTGCGGTCAATTATGAAGTAATCGCCCAGGGGCACATCAGCTGGCATGATGCTCACATAGCGGCCGTCTTGCGCTTCGCCGGTTTCCTCATCGGCCACCAACCTCGTATCAGCAGCGTCGTGCTCGAAGCCGCTATGCCTAAAGCAGTTTGCGACTACTGCAGGTGGTGTGTTGTTCCACATATATGTCAGCATGTGGATTGCGCTTAGCAGGCTTACTTCGTACTGCTTTCCTGACTCCATGCAGAGTAACATCCGCTCTAGTACCTGTTGTCGATAGCGGCTTTTCACGATCTGTATGATTCCCTGGTCCATCGGCTGCAAGGAAGCCGTTGTGTTCGGAGGCAGGAATAGCAGTTCAATGTTCTCGAGCCTAAACGCCTTCGTGTGCGCACTACAGTTGTCTAGTACGAACAACGCCTTCAGAGCCTTGGCCGCAAAGCGGCGGTTCAGCTGATGCAGCCAGGCTTGAAAGAGTTCGGAAGTCATCCAAGCCTTTCCGTTGAACCAGTAGTTGACAGGCAGCTGCTTAATATTCTTAAAACACCTTGGCTTCGCAGCCTTCCCGATCAACATCAGCGGCAGCCGCTCTGTGCCGGTCATGTTAGCAGCCAGAAAAACTGTCACGCGCTCTTTACTTCGTTTTGCACTGACGCACGGGTCCCCCTTAAACGCAATAGTCTTGCCAGGCAGAGCCTTATAGAACAGCGCTGTCTCATCAGTGTTGAAAATGTTGAAACAGAGAAAGGTGCGTGGATAGTCTAGACCACCAGTCCTGCACAACACATTCGTCAACCGCACCTCTTCCACCTCACAGGTTGCGGAACACCAGCCCGTGTCGCTTCTTGAAGCGGTCGAACCAGCCTTCCGACGCATTGAAGGAGTCAATATTCTTGATCACCACGAACTTCTCTGCTTGTGCGCAGATAAGGGGGCCGCTCAAGGGCAAACGCGCATCGTGCAAAACGGCAATCCAGCACAACAGCGCTTCTTCTAGCTAGGGATGCACTGCCATTCGAAGCCTCTTCTTTTGGTCGCCAAACATATCCTCGTCATACGCTTGCATAATCTGCTCTTCGTTCTTCACGTTAGTGCTCAGCGTGCTTTTCTTCACATTGAACTTTTTCATCACTTTTTCAGGAGATGCTCCCGCTTGCAACGCCTTCAATATTTTCACCTTCAAAGCCAAATCCTTTGCTTCGTACTTCGCCCTCTTTGTTGTGGGAGTTGGGGCGGTTGGGGCCGCAGGAGACGGAGGGGAAGCCATCCCGGCGTCACTCGCGCGTGCACGAAGTAGACAACACAAACACACACACACACACACACACACACACACACAAAAAATGCACGGTGACAAAAACCAAATAAAAACCCACGAACTTTTCAAAAAACAGAAAACAGTAAGACTGCAGATGGCACTGATCGCGTACAGATAAAGCACACTAGAGGTGAGCGATCCACCTCAACCGTCACGCAAACGTGTTCGACGCGCAAGAAAAAAGGAAAGGCAAATCCGTAGGTTGCCCGTTGCTGATGACAGTAGCGATGCACTGCCTTCCAATGTGGTTGTTTAAACCACCATGTCCATGTGGTTTTTTTGGGGGGGGGAGGGAGGGGTGCCTCCAAGATGCACTACCCATGGATGAAGTTTTGAATCTCAGAGGCCGCAATCCAATCCCAAAGTTGTTTAGGTGCGCTGTCGATTTGGCCGGCAGAATCCACTGCTGCTTCTCCGTCATGACTCGACCACGGTCGGGTGTTCGAATCAACCGAAGCCCGGCCAAATTTGTCTGAATTAATGAGAGCTTTCAGTCATAAAACAATGTACATTTTGGACCGGACCAGATGCCGTAGCCAAATGAACCGAAATTCCGAATTAACGGGGGTCAAATTAACGAGATTTTACTGCAGCAACAAATAAGAAACTGGTAATCAGAAACCAAGTAAGGCTACCAGCTTACTAGAGAACTGCATTAAGCACAATCTCTGCATTGCATGGTGTTATTGTTCACGACTACCGGAAGACTCTGCTTTCAGCTCACTTTGAAATTCAAAGCATTGCTGTGGTTCCTGCCACTTTGCTTACATGGTCTCTAGACAGTACAGAGAGCGGGAAGTGGTGGCTGTGAAGGAGAAGTATTTCATGCAAGCCAGAAAAGCTCATCCTCTCCGTCACTTCAGCCAGCATGACCAAGACTTTTTATTACCGTTGAATAAAATTGCAGCTAATATTTCCTCATTAAAACACAAGTTCCCCAAAGTTTTCTTTTTTTTTCAAGTATTCCCATACTGTTCAATATCCCTGAGAATTCCCAGTTTTCTTGGTTGTCCCAGTTGGTAGACATTCTGCACATAATTAAAGAATGCTGGACATGCTTTGTTTGAATTTAAAGAAGTCACCTTCACTTAAAAGCCTACTAGTTACCTACAGAAGTAAAAAACAGTAAAAGACTTACAATAGTCACAGACTGAAACACAGAAAGAAATGTCATATCAAAAAACATATGGCAAACCAGATCACACCACATTTCCTGTCATAGCAGTAACAGAAGCTTGCTCAAACAAATACGAGAAAGCTAGTACACTCAAACCCGCATATATCAAACTCATGAAGAAATGGGAAAGAAAAGAGAATATATCACACAATTCAATACAAAACACTTAAATAATCCACCATACTTTTGTAGTTTGGCCTCGAAGCACTGGGCTACTACACAATAAAACAAGAGTGGCAGCTTCACGGCAATACGTGGAGAAATTTTTTTATGCTTTCAATATTCCTCTGTTTGTAGTTGGAGGGGGGGGGGGGGGGCACAAGTTGTATTCAGGGGTGGGTAATATGCAAGAAAATACATTAGCAATGTAAAGAGCACCTCAATATCTTCACACGCAGCTGTGTGTATCCATTGGGTGCGAGAAGCCTCAGGTCTTGGCCCTGATGTTGGCCTTGTTCTTCATTATATTTACCATGCTTTTCAGGTGCTGTATGCAGCCACGAGGTCAGACTACTTTCCGTTCAACTGTGTTGATAATCACCAGCTTTGCGGACACAGCTGATTTTATGGCAGCCATCATGTTAACAAAAAGAGCGGAGAATCGCAAGTGAATGGCAAACGTACATGATGGGTCAATGAGAAATTATGGAAGAAGGCACGTGGTGGCAAAGGGTTGTTTCTTCTAGTTTATTCAGCAGCATGTTGCTCACTCTTCAAATGTATCCAGGGAAATCTCCTTCCATGAGGAAGGAGACTTGGTGCATTTTACACTTCCCGATGTTCTATGTGTGAAGTGTTCCGACTATTTTTATTTTATATAGCCGGTTATTTTCTTGTGCTTTGAAAATAAAGCATCGCCAAGTATGAAAATGGTTAGATATAAAGCAGTGGTTCCTTTTATAAAGCAGTGGTTCTCAGCTATGGATGTGTCGGGGACCCCTTGTGGACTGGCGGAAGTGATGGGGGACCCCTTCCAGTGGAGGATTAGGAGGGGGGGTATGTAGGTAAATTAACACAACTGGAGCGTGAAGCAGGTGCCTTTTATTGCTACCAAAAACATCAAACAAACATGCCACATCACTTCATTTTGGACAGTTCATCAATTTGTGGCACAGTCGCGCTTGAAAAAAAATAGAAAAAATAGAAAACAAAAGCGGGTGAGGGTTTTGCGGATCATAAAAATGGCTTTGCAGACCCCCTTTTGAGAACCACTGATATAAAAAAAACAGCATTTACCAGAGTTCGGTACGATCCAGCTTGAATGTATACTTCTCTTTATCACCTTAACCTTAACTTATCTTGGCTGTACACAAGCAGATTCACAGCAGTGATAAAACTACATTATTCTGGAAAATTTCAAAAGGAATTAACTATTATTTGTCCACATATGCATTGTCAAAGCAATGGTGCTACGGCTGTGGATGTAATAAAAAAGCGATAATGAGGTCCTATCAGAATTTTTGTCAAAATACGGAAATCCCTCATTATAACAATGAAATTATGAAAAAATTTGTTATAAGCAGTATTTCCCCATAAGTGACCACTCGCAAAAAGCTGAGGCAGTCAAGGTTCAAGTGCACTAAAACTGAGGGGAAGTCAAAACATGATGTGCAATAAACGCTTGTTAATTCAGATCACTGGGGCCATGAGAAATCTTTAAATTAAGCAGGTTTTCAAATTACCAACACACAAAAAGTGGGATGCAAGGAACTTGGAATTATTCAACG